CCGAGAGTGTGGGAGGAGTGCTGGTTTTGGGGAGTGTGTGTGTGTGTGTGTGTGTGTGTGTGTGTGTGTGTGTGTGCGCGCGCCCGCCTGGAGGGATGGATCAGGCAACTTGGCGAGCAGAGGAAGACCCGGACCCGCTCGGAACCCACGGAGAGGCACGCTTTGCCCGCGTGAAATTGACAAGAAACTGCCCCAACAACTTAACTTCGTCATCTAAGTAGTTCTTCTCCTGCCCCCCAGCCACACACCCACTCCTCTTCCTCCCCGGCTCCCCCACCTCCTTTCCGCCTCCCACTCTCCCTACCCAGCTGCGGCGGCGCGAAGATGAAAGAGAAAGCCGCCGCCTTGATCCACACCGCACTGATAGATGCTCTGAGTGGTGGGGACGAGGCGGGGATGGGGGCTGAGCCAGGGAAGGGGGTACAGCCGACGTTGCCAGCCAGGGAAGAGAAGCCAGAGGTGAGAAAAGAGCCACGGCTTTCGGAAAATCACGCACATGCTCTTTTGAAACAAGGGTGCACACGCTAGAGGAAAATAAAAATCTCCAGGCTTACCCAGAAAAATAGGACGAGGAAGAAGGGTCTGAAGACTGGATCTTAATTATCACTTTGTAAACAATCTCTCTTTCATTACGTCTTCACCACGGGATGTACGGAGTTACGCTAGATCCCTCGTGGGTTTTCAGAAATACACGCCGCAGTGTGTGGGAACCTCGTAGAGAAGGAAAAGCCTGCTGCAGGAGGGGGGAGAGAAACCAAAGGACCAGAGAGCAAAGCCGGGAGAGGGAGGGCGCGCAGGGCAGTTCCGGCACCTCGGACTGGGCGCTGAAAGGGACCCTTGAAGATGCAGATCCAATCCAACCTCAGAAATTCCCCAGTCTCCACCGTCTGTTTGATGCGATTTATTCAAGGACGACTTTTAAGGAGGTGCTTTGTGAAAGTCACTGTATAAGCAAGGCTGAGGCTTGAAGACACATTGCACTTTGTCCCTGGGCTCCCAAACCACCCCAGTTAAAAATCCAGACAAAAGTAGTACACCCAGGGCAGTAGCTGTCTGTGACACCTCAGAACGGTAGACAGCAGGTGGGAAGAAATCCATCTCCACCTCCTTTAAATTGGAAACAAGGAAAGCCCAGTGATGTCGGACTGTAGTTCTATTATGCAGACATATTTGCTTTTTCCCAGGGGTGAATTTGCAGGTGGGTGGACCTGGTCTATGGCCAGCAGTACTCTCAATGAGCACCAAAGACCCTGCCCTCGATCACACTACTACTTCGTGGGGGTGGGAAGGATCCACTGTTTAAAACGGGATCATTTAGGGGGTTCAGTTGATCCCATAGAACATAGTCAGAAGTCACATGTACATCATGTCCGGCAGAGTGGTAAAATTAAGGGACTGGCGAAGAAGCCAGGACATTAAACCCACTTTCGTAGCCAACAATGCTCTGCCGTAGAGCAGGGGAAACTGCGGCGTGTGTAAGGCAGTAACTGAGAGGCTGGAAAGAAACCCTGTTGTTTTGGGACAGTGATGGTATGCAGTGTCCCTCGAAGCTGGGCACCAGCCAGTGTGAGCGACTGTCCCAGGGAGGTGGACAAGCAGCTGTGTCAGCCCGCTCTACCCCTGCTCTGAAAGAAGTAGGGAAAATGAAAGCCCCACGTCACCCCTAACTGAGCAGCTGTGACTGATAGGAAAAGAACTGAAAAATGCAGTTTCCCCAAAGCCAGCATAGACCTTCATTTTCATCAAATTCTCCAGGAAGGGAAGGGGGACACACGGAATGGCCCAGGGTATTTTCTGGAAGCCAAGGAGAGATTAAAGGACGACTCTACATCCCGACCTTGTTTAAGTGTTGCCATTAATTCGAATCCCATTTTCTCCTCGATGTTAATTATCTGGACTCCTGAGCCGTTTGGAGCTCAGCTCCAGGTGTCCTGAGATTAAGCGCTCAGGGAGATGGACATTGGGGACAAAAACTAGTGGGCACTGTGGGCTAGAAGGGCGGGTGGGTGCCTGCGTGTGGAATTTGGTGTAACCCTCTCCTTTGGAAACAGGGTTTCTAACGAAATCCCCCAGCCCCGGTCTGTCCACGTGTGTTTGTCCTCCCCGGGGGGTGCGCTGTGTCGAATTCGGCGAAGCCACAGATCTTGTGAAGGATCCTACTTGAAAAGGGCTTTACTAAGGGTCTCGAGCCCCAGTTTTGCAGAGCTTAGCCTAGGAGGAAGGTTGACATTTCCCTGAAAGGGGTCGCTCTTAAGGGGAAAAAGCGAGGGGCGAAGTAACCCTGGGAGACGTTCTGGCGGCGCAGTTCCCGGCGCAGGCATTC